TACTACATTACAGAATTTAGTTTTAGACTATGCTAAGTGGAAACAAATGAATGTAACTCGAAATGACTAGTAAAATAAAAGCAGGCGATTTGTTGATTGTTCTTCATGTTCTAGAGGCTAAAAACGCTAGGCCAGGATAATTCACAGGTTAAATCTAAGAATATAAAATGCATACAATCAGGAAGTAATTAAAGTCGTTTAGAACTCGAAACCTAATGATAAAACTAATCAACTCTCGTTGCAGAAGTTATCAATGTCTAAATTTCAGAATTTCAAATCTCTTTGAAATTCTAATAATTTAAACAAGCATTAACAACAGGTTCGATTGTTCACAAAATTTCTAAATTAAATCTCTTTGCAGATAGTAATTTTGCTCATTTAAGACTAGTTCAGGTGATTAACAATGTTTTCACATCTATTAAACAACGTATGGTGCAATTTTTAGATGATCAGTCGTAAAAATCGATTTGAATGCGAATCTAGATGAATAACCAATGGATTTTCCTAACAGTTTAGTGACTCTACAAACTCTTCATTAACCTTTAAATCATCCTAACCTTACTAACAATTTACTCAGACATGGAGATGAATCCACAAATCATAACTGAATAATACTACATTAAAAAGAAAAGAGTATAGATACAAGGGCTCGAAATCTTCTCTAAAAGAGTACAAACTTTGTCTCCCTCAAAGCTCTGGATCAATCTCTCTCAAAAGCTCTCTAGAAAATCAGATTTATGTCAAAGAATGGCTGAAAACCTAATATACAGACTAAAACACGAATGAGACACTTTTGCAAATAGTAGAACTTCTGAGCCAAAACTGCAATTCTTCCTTTACCTTTTAATAAGACACACGACGCTTCCTCAGATGTGGGTGACGAGCGTCACCAAATAGAGGGTGACGATCGACACCAGTGCAAAATCATGTCTCCTTGTTGCTTCATTCGGGAAGAACTCCTGTTTTGCTCCAAAATGCTCTAAAGTCTCCAATTATGCTCAAAGCATGCATTAACCAGTAAAGACTCTAGTAGGACTCTAAAAAGAACAAAAAGACTCAATAAAAAAGACTTATATCATGGTTAAAAATCATAAAACCCATGATATATCAGTGAAAGTTCAACTTGTATTGCATTTTTTCATTCTATCCAATCATGCCTCCTTTGGCATTGAAACACAGATTTTGGTTCTAGATCTTCGCTTTGATCATTCATTTCTTTTGACACAGAGTATGCAGAAATTGCATCAGATCCATTCATTTTATTTTGATTCCATTTCATTTTATTTCGTTTCCATATCATTCTTACTATGAAGGTAATTGATGAAAATTTCATGGTTATTTTTTGGATTCAGAATATTTCACATTGTCATCACCTTCGTGAATCATCTCTCCCAAAATTTATGTTGTTTTAGGAGGCTTATGGTTTTCACGGTCCTTCCGCTTTCTGGGATTTTTATCTTTAGAACCAATAGGTCTACCTTGCTTCAAGAATTTTCTAGACTTATGTGCATAATCTTTTCTTCTACATTCCTATGGTATTTCAATATGAGTAGGGGCATTTGCAGCTACTTTATTTGATTTTGTTATCATCATGGTATATGCAAATGCGCCAGATAGTTCATTGGCTATGCTTTGCAAATGCATAATTCATGCGACGAAATATTGCTTCGAATTACCATCGAAACATATTACCCAGTTTAGGATAATTTTAAGATGCCCATTTACCCACGAATAGGTGATGAAATATTGCTTCGCATTACCGTCGAACCATATTACCCAGTTTACGATGATTTTAAGACGCTTATTTACCACATTTTTATGACGATTTCAAGAAAATATATCACATATTTCATCCTTAATTTTGTAACTGTTTTGTTGTAACTTGTCGACTAATATGCAACGACAGACTAGTTCGTCGTTATATCATTGTAAAGTTAACCACGATTTTATGAGATATTTTAACGACGATTTGTCAACAAAAAATTGCTCTCGTAATGTTTACTACGATTTCACGGTAAAATTGCCTTTAAAACTATCGTTTAACGACGATTTGAGTTTCGTGGTAACTTTGTTGCAAAGTCTGATTTAGGATGATTTTACTATGAATATAGTACTCGTAAACTTACTGTCTTCTTGTAATGGAAAAAGATATTACAAGCTATAAAACGATTGAAGATATTTAGGGAAATAGACAAATACACAAAGGGAAGATTTGTTTTTTTCTTTTCTTAACTCTTTAAATCTCCCGCATCATGGCAGATTGAAGAAATTCAGAATCCTATGATACAACCACATTGAAACTATGATCGTATCACTCCATTATTGAATATGCAAACTTATGAATCTATGCTATAATCCCGAAGGGGAGAAGGGAGGGGGGGTGTATTGGATTAGGAATTTTAGAAGATTTAGTGGGTTTTTATATTTGGTGAGTTTTAGGTGGAATTTGAGGATATTTCATGATTTTAGTGAGATTTTAAAATAAAAATAAAAAAATTTTGGCGATATGGTAAGCTTTCAATTAAGAATTTTGAGTGATTTGATAATTTCAATTATGAAAAAAAAAATTCAATTAAAAAAAGAGTCTCATATCTTCGTCTTATCGCATGTTTGAGAGCAAAAGAGAGAGATTCAGACCTAGCATATCCACAAATTTCTTTGTTGTCTTTATTTCACACAGACACACAGATACACACATATACACACAGACACACAGACACACACACAGAGACACACACACACACAGACACACACACATACAGACACGCACGCACGCATGCACGCACGCACGCATGCACGCACGCACGCACGCATGCACGCACGCACGCATGCACGCATGCACGCAGGCACGCACGCACGCAGGCAGGCACGCACATACGCACACACACGCACGCACACATACACACACACACGCACGCACGCACGCACGCACACATGCAGGCACGCACGCAGGCACGCACGCAGGCACGCACGCAGGCACGCATGCAGGCACGCACGTGCGCACGCACGCGTAGACACACGTGCGCGCACACACACACACACGCACACACACACATGCACGCACGCACGCACGCACACACGCACGCACCCACGCACGCACGCACGCACGTGCGCACCCACGCACGTACGCACGCACGCACGCACGCATCCATGCACGCACGCACGCACGCACGCACGCACGCACGCACGCACGCACGCACGCGCACGCACGCACGCACGCACGCACGCACACACACACACACACACACACACACACACACACACACACACACACACACACACACACACACACACACACTTATACTAAACCCTGTCAACCCCCAAGCTCTCATTACCTTCTATAACATCGTTGGAGAACTTTTTTATAATAGAATAAAGAAAGAAAGTGAGTGCGTGTTCTAGTTTTACTCAGATTTTTTCTAATTTTAGCTTCGTCTCATTAAAAGTTCGATACTTTTGCTGGTTATGTTTGATTCTTGTTTTAGTTCAATAGTGAGGTCTTACTGAATAAGGTTAATTCCGATTTCTAATTAGAGATTGTTCAATTGCTGACATAAGCTATAGAAGCATTTTAAGTTCAGTTCTATGGATACAGATTTGCCTGTAGTTCTATAGATATATACTTTAAGTTCAGTTCTATGGATACAAACTTGTCTTCACGTATACCATGAACAAAGTAAAAACGAAGAGAAATCGTTGCAAACCAATGTAAAATCCAAAGTATGCCAACAGAAAATACAGAAAAAAGCAATCTAAAGAAACCAAAAAAAAAAGAGATAAAGCTAAAGTAAATTCATTGTTGCCTTACGATCCCATAGCATCTGTCCACATGGTTGCCGCTATATTTGCTCTCTAATTATTAACATTCACTCTTTGCTGTTCTTGAGTACCTTGAAGAACTTCATCATCATTGAATTCTTCATCATCTCTTTCTTCGACACCAGTTCCTTCAACAACAGTTTCTTCATGAAGAAATATATCAAAACGATATTCTTTACGAAGATAATTATGTAAAACCACACATGCAAGGACTAACTCTGCTTGCTTCTTATATGGAAATAGTGGTGCATATTTGAAGATGAGAAGTCTTGATTTGAAGATGCCAAAAATCCTCTCTATTACATTTCACAAGCAAGAATGACGATGGTTGAACAACTCATTTTGATTTACAGGGTCATTTTCTTGTCCCCTAAACTCTTTGAGATGATAACGAGTACTTCGAAATGGAGCTAGAAAATTATGACGATTGGCATATCCACAATCAACCAAATAAACTTTCCTGAAATTACATAAATTATACAAATAAAATTGAAAAAATGAGTAAAAATAACCCAAAATCTTTTTAATCATAATAAGAGACGTACCTTCTGGAACTTTTAACTTGTTAGTATTTCTTGTTAATGCATCTTGTAATACTTTTGCATTATAAGCTGAACTTTCCCAACTGCTAAGAACATATATAAATTCTAAATCAAAATTACATGCAACCAAAACATTTTGCGATAATTGTCCTTTTCGATTGCGATAGGCTGCTGAATCTTTTCCAACTATCATCGCAAGAATATTGGTTGCATCAATAGCTCCCACACAATCCTAAATAAATAGAAGGTAAATGTTAAATTTGCTTATATTAAAATTTTTTTTTTATAAATCCATATCTTAAAATAAGGATAAAACCGTGTGCTCTCTCTTATTTTTGTAGGCACTGTAGTTCTGGGTTTAGCCATATAGGTTGGAGCAAGTGCGTTTAACACCTTCAGAATTGTGTTAAAACTGGTACTTATTGAGAATCTTGACCTCTTGAATCTGTCTTGAGCTTGAATATACCTAGAATTTTGACCAATAATGAATAAAAATGTAGCAAGCATTTCTTCAACTGAAACAAATCTCGTATCTTTCAATCCCATCTTTTCTCTAATAATAGAGCATAGCTTCAGGAAGACATCCAGATACATACGATATAGATGTCAAAAATGTTGAGGATCTTCAAACAACGCCTTTTATATGTATTCATTTCCAAGCCTCGTAGTTGGTCTTCTAATTTGGCGTTGTATCTGTGGAATATGTGAAGAACGGATCTTCGCAGTGATTGACAAAATCAGTAGCAGAATATCAACGTCGTTTTTGAAATTTGCTATCGTTTTCTGTTTTTTTTCTAACTTGCATATCTTCATTTTCAGAAACAATGCGATCCATTGGATAATCCTACATGATAACATAAATATCAAGTCATACCAAAATATATAATTCAAAAGTTGAAATATAAAAGCACTACAATAAAACAAACAAGAAATATGTGAAAAATTGATACAACAAAGACTCACAAACTCGCAGGAAAACGGCGGAGGTGCAGACCCCTAAAGTACAGAGAAAAGAGAATAACTGAATAATGGCAAACAAATCATTATCAAACTCCCAATTTTCCTTAAACAAATTAGCCGCCAAAAAAAAATTGACCGCCAAAATTTTAGGCGCCAAACACAGAATACACAAAATTGCCAAACACAGAATACACGAGATTGCCAAACACAGAATACACGAGATTCTCCTCCAACCAGTAAGAGGAGTTTCCATTTTGTCAGCAACTACTATTTTTAAGCTTTAAGAACGAAAGTTCATGAAGATATGCAAACATTTTTGTGAACTTATCAAAGAAAATAAGGAGGTCAAGAGATAGAAAAAACACTATTAAATGGTATGGTCTCAATTAAAAACTAAAATTTAAATAAAACACATAAAGTGTTGTTCAAACAAAGAACAAAAACCATAACAATTCGTTAAACAGAATAACTAAAACTCATACTAAAAGAAGTAAAAAAAAAGCTCCAAAATCAAGAACCACATTCATAACTTCAATTCATGTTAAGGCATCTCATTCAGCCATTTGGTTTACGAAGGTTTCGTTTAATCCATCCACAACGGTCTGTTATAGACATATTCACTAAACCAGATTTCATACCTAAGCTGTGAACAAGTGTCATCGCCTCGTAATGCAAGTCGTCATCTAAATCAGGAATTTCTTTGATAGCATCCCAAACATTGTTAGCTTTGTCCTCAGCTTCTTTTTCCCATCTTTTTTTTTTATCATGCCAAAGATCTGGCTACTGATTTATGTCACTTCATCATCAACCATGTTGGAGTTATATGCATCAGTTCTAGCTTTCTTTCTTTGGGGAAGCTTTTCTCCCTGACTTTGTCCTGATGAAGACGAAAACACTTCACGCTCAGATGCTTGCTGCTGTATTATCCCTTCAGCAAAATCAATATCATTTGTCCTCTCGATGGCTTCAACTTGGTAGGTATCTGCATGAATGGTACCACAAAATCAATATCATTTTGTCCACTTGCAGTATTTGGACCATATATCGTTTTTAACTCCTCATAATCTTCAAAGGAATCATCACGCATATATTTCTTATCTGGATGAGCCTATATAAACAGAGAAAGAACAACAAGTATCATTATAATAAGAAGCATATATAAGCAACACTAAAACATTTATAAAGTTTTTGTTATAATTTTCTACCTTCAAATAGACATTCCATACTTCATCATCTGCTGTGAATTTTTTCGTTTCGCGATCCCACCCAAAACCAGAACTACAACGAAGAAATTCTGCAAGACTTTGGTACCTAGCCTTCAACATCTTTATCCAATTTCTATACTGGCTATAGGTTATGGAAGATCCAAGCTCTTGGTTTAGAGTTGAAAGTATTCTTGTCTCTATCGTGAGTTTGTTGAATTTACCATCAGATTGGCGGAAACCTTGATTATTTGCATCCACTAGTAGCTGTAATAGCAATTTAAGTTGAGGATCAGACCATTGATGATATTGACCTGGATCTCCCATTGTGTGCGAGTACCTAGTCATAGAATACAATACAGATCGTAAAAACCAAACTATTAATCAATCTACACTATTTAAACCAAATCTGAAAAGCAAAATAATTGAAGAGATCTTAAAGTGATTGCCAAAACGATAATACTATACACGATGAGTACTCATATATAGCATCAAAATCATCCAAATCATATGAATACTATTCTAAGACAAAACATCATCCAAATTCATGAAAAGTAAACAAAAATTGAATCAAACGTGGAAATAAGCAAAAGTAATTTGAAAAGAATACTTACTTTGACAGAAGAGACAATGGAACCTTGACGTACTGATAGCAATTTGGTAAGCCACTCTCCATTGAACTCTGATACAAAAAATATTATTGATCATATATATACATGTACACCTATCAACCTAACCCTAAAAAAACTAAACGAGAAGCCCATATTTATATTTTTTTCTAAACAATCAGCCCATAAAGAAACTAACAAGGCATATATTTGAGATCACGCCACTAACGCTGTCTTCCATACACTCATATATAAAGTACCAAGGATGCATCAAAAAGTAAAGTACGAAGCAATCGTTACCTCACTATCGGATCACAGGAAACTCTGTTTTTGGCCCTCAACTGTAGCATCTACACTCATCGTTCTCGCCTACATTGAACACACCATAATCTCAGCCTACAAACAAATCATAAAGCTACTAATCTATTAAACAGTATTTGAATAAGTTTTGATTTCAAGAAAATAGAGAAACTTCACAATCCAAAAACCTTCCTCTTTCTTTCTGCAGGTTCATATTGGTTAGAATAAAAGATCACGACTTGCGTGAATGTATTATGGTTTTCACGAAAACAAGATAACGAATACGTTAACTTTTGAATCAGGGAATTATTTAAAGTGAACATCTGATTACAAATTTAACGATGTGATGCAACTCCAAAACGTACCATCAAAGTTTCTGTCCTGGTCAGGGAAAGGGAAATTCAATCATGTCTCGGAATGCAGAGCAAGATCCCTTGCAAACACAACTACTTCTTCAGTCACGCCGATTGCATCTCCAACATCGTGCTCTTTCGAATTCGCACCCAATTGCAAGAAATTTTATGCGATTTGGGTAAACTCCGATATTAATAAGTTTCCGGAGAGCTTCAAGATCTCCGTTCTTAATCTACATCCGATCTCCACGAAATCACTCATGATCCCAGCAATCAGATCCTCGTCGGTGACTTCCGAATCTCCTCCGCATGATCGTTCGTCTGATATTTTATCCAGATGATCTGAGGAAGCAGGCGGTGGTGTGAGGAAAGAAGCCACACCCCATAGCTATGATTGCAACACCAACGACGAAGACAGCTGATCGAAACCGGAATCATCAATTGTATTGGACTTAATCGTTTGCTTTTCGTCATCTTCAGAGAGTTCGCAATGAATCTAGCTAACCATGCCATTTTTCCTGGATTACGCTAGACAGATAAAGAAGAGATAAGATTGAGAAATAATTGATTATAGAGAGAAGCAATTGATTCATCGATGGCAGAGAGAAAGAAAAATTTCAACTCAAAAATATGTAAGGAAAGAGATGATGAAAGAAGCTGGCGAAGAGGAGATGTTTTTTATCCATTTTTATAAAAAAATAATTATTTTGAAGTCTCTCCAAAAAACACCTCTTTAGGTGTGAATTTTTGAATCATTATTTGTGAGTAAAAGTGGATGGAAAATCTCCTCAAATTTGTTTCATAACTATTTTCTTTTTAAAATGTTTGGTTTTGAATAACAGGGATTTTGATTTAGTTTTCGCAAATTCTTGATTGAATAACATACATTTTTAAATAATTTTAGTTAATTTTACATAAATTCTATGTTCAATAACATCAATTTTAGTAAGATATTTAGAAATCTCTAATTCAATAACAGAGATTTTTAAAACAACCACCAAGTCTTCTAAAATTTCTAATTCAATACACCCCCCTTACTCTAAGATTTTTAGAAGAGGCCAGATGGATTTTTTGTTGTAAAAACAGTGAAGAATAATGAATGAGAGAAGTCTTTATTTATATTGAAGGAGTAGCTTGGTTTGGCAAATTTAAATTGACCAATAAATTGACCAATAAGATAAGAGAAATGTAAATATTACTTAAATCTTTATTTCCTTTTTAATACGACCGAGAAAAATATATATTTCGTAAAATAATTTGACTCAAATTTTAATGATTTGTGAAGATATTATGCCAAAATCTTAATGTAATATTAATAAATTTATTAAATTATATCAATATTTAGCTCAAAAAGAACATTGTTGGTGGTTTTGCTAATAGTTATGTTAGTTCCAATGTGTAACAAATGCACATCATGATTTTTAGTCATGATTACATGTTCACTTTGACAATTAATTTTTTAGTCAAATTAACTTTGATTTAACAAGTTATTACATTAACTTAGTGCTGATTACTAAGAATCTAAGAAATCCATAATTGTCAAAACTTAAGTTTCAACATGCCCGTTGTTCTTGAGTTCAAATCGACTAATTACAGTTCCATCATCCACTATGTATTATTATTTGATTAATCTTTGTATCTTATTTATTGTCTATCCACTAGTTTGGATAAAAAGAGACTATTGGCTAATTGTCTGGATCCCATCAACCACCTTCCTCTGACCATCACTCGATTAAGTAAAAAGCGCTTCTCGGCCAGTCACTCGATGCAATCTCTTTTAGTTTAAAAAGCGCTTCTCGGCCAGAATAACTGAAATATTTTTTTATTACTGAACTAACCTAGCGTATCTATTATGTCTTTTTGCTTTTGATAACAAAAACGGTATTTACGATTGTGCCATTACTTTTCATTTGCCATGTAAGCGAGTTGTTTGGTGGTAGACTTATCTAGTTCTGGTCAACGGCTGGTAGATTTGTCTTTATCTGGTAGATTCGTTCTGTTTGGTAGACTTGTCGTTGACGATGAAGTATGATATCTCTATTATTTATACCATCTTAGCATGCATTCATCACTAGTTTTAGTCTTTTAACATGCATATTTTGCTTTTTCTTGTCCCATTTGCATACATTTAGAAGTTAGTGTAGCTTTAGGAGCTGCATTGCATTTTGCATTCATTTGGAGTTTTATTCAGGTACTAGAAGGAGTTTGGAGACCAAGTGGTGCAATGGATGTGAGCTGGGAATGGAGCAAGGAGAAGGACAAGGTCGGATGGACCAATATGGATCAGGATATCGATGTGATCTGATCGATAAAGAGCATATCAGACTGAACATCGATGGCTTCACGTCGATATAGAAGGAACATGGTGTACAAGAGCAACATATCGATAAGGAGAATCTCGATACACTAAGATGGATTCATACCGATCAGTGTATCGATCACCCAAGTCGATACACCAGAGACGGGGCAATATTGAAGTGCTATATCGGCATGAATCTGCTCCATATGCCTTAGGAAAAGGGCGATTGTATCGATGTCTATACCAGGAGAGTCAAGCCGTACACCCCTGAAGCCTTGTGTATCGACCACCATATCGACCAGGAGCATGTCGATACAACCACAAGAAGACCCAATATCGATGTCTGTAACGATATAAGAAGCCGATATGGTTCAGCCGAGTTAGCCTTAATTCTGTTTTCATAGTTTATTAGGGGTTTCTAAGCCTCCCTATAAATATTAAAGTCCTAAAATGTTTAGACAACTCTTATATTATTATTTTCTCTATTATTCTAGCATTAAAAACCTTTCCTTTTTCAGCTTTGCTTTGTAAGAACTAGTTTGATTTAGTGAATTTATGCACTTGCCTTTAATCTATTCTTGCTTATTATGCTTTCTAATCATGCTTAACAATTATTTCTCTTTGGAATCTGTGGTTTTAACTATGACTAGTGAATATTCCTATTTAGGGTTTAAGATGGGATAGATTAGAATAATTTTAGGATTAGATTAGTGAAGCCTTATTCTTAATATCATTGTTTTCTCTCTATTAGATGTGCTTAACACTAGATTAGTCTTGGTCAGGCTTGTTTAGTATCTTGGCTTTCTCTTATGCATGATAAGTGTTTGATAAAATGCTGTTGTGAGTCTCTTATATGATTTATATGCTTAGCCTAAGGAATTAGATGTCTAAGTTGAATTTTGGCTTTATGGGATTGGAGTTATGTTCTGAATGCTTGCTGATCATGTGTTTGAGTAAAGGGATTTATCTGAAATGTGTGTTTAGCAAAGTGATTAGTGTCAAGGAATTGAGCTAGTTATAGTTGTTAATCATTTGCCTAGAAGATAGCATTGTTTGAATGGTTTTGAAGCATCACTAGTTTAGTTGTAATTCCCTCTTAGTCAATAACCCCCAACTTAGATCCTTGCTTTAATATATTTGAATTTCCTGCTTTGAATTTGTGCTGCTTGATACACGAGTTTTTGAGGCTCTTGAATGTCAATCACCCTTACACTTGTACTAGTCAGTTGTAATGTAGTATGTGAGTTATGTCAATCCAATGGGAAGAGTTGAAAACAGAAGAGTTGAGAGTAAAATCTCTAAGTCAAGCAAGCAGAGAATTGGTTTTGTTGCCTAAGCAACAGTTCTAGCAACCTAAGTGAAACAAGCAACAAAATAAGTGAAAGCAAAAGCAAACTAAGCAGTTCTAAACAAGAAAAACAGAGTAAAACAGAGCAAAACAGAGCAAATCTGAGATTCAAATAAGAGAAAGACAAGTCTCTAGATGTGGTTATTGACTTTGGGGAATTTCAAGCATTAACTAAGGATGTTTCAAACTACATTGATCAAGCAAGCAAGCAAGCAATGGTGATTCCTAGACATAGAGTTCACACTTAAGCTAGTTAGATCCAATCTCTTGGCAAATAACCCTTTGCTAAACATTCTCACAAGAACTAACTCTCATTAGTGCTAAAACATCAAGCAAGCATGATTAGACAACTCTATTCAAGTCAAAATGCTCCTCAAACAGTCAATATCTTGAGCCAAGGCCAGCAAATCCTTTATTAAACATGATCATAATTTCATCAAACACTTGGTGGGCATAAGAGAAAGCTAACAACTTAGACAAGTTTGATCAAGACTAATCTAGCATGAATAACAGATTAATAGAGAGGAACCCATAGAATGAAGAACATAACAAGCCTTAATCAAGCTTTAGATTCCCCTAATCTACCACATCTAGAAACCCTAAGATAACTACTCACTCATAATCATGATTAACACCAAATCACAAAGGGAAAGGATGCTAATCATGATTAAAAGAAAGATTAAAGAAAGATTAAAGCAAATACTTGATTGTATTAAACAAAGCAAAGAAATTGTCTTACAAACTTAAAATAAATGCTCAAGAACAGTATTTTGACATGACTTGTCGAAAATCTGGAAAAAGAGGCTATTTATAGCCTAGAAAGGAAAACCCTAGAGTAATGGCATAGTTGTAATTAAAAACAGTTTCGGGCTGGGTCAGTATCGGTCAGTCGTGTCGATCTCCAGTGACCGAAATGGGTCCCTATCGGTCTTCAGTGATCGACACAAATGACCGAAATTAATCCGATGTGTTTGTGTCGATCACACTTGACCGATACTGGTGACCGATATGCTCCGTATCGGTCACTCTTGACCGAAACTCTCCGTGCTCTGACCGAAAA